CACCGCGCCATGTATACTGTAGTTCGCTGCGGACGAAGGGGCGTGTCAGGCAGTATGAGTGTGCCACGGTGAAAAACCCGTTCTCTGCCAGTTGTTGAAGCAGTTACGCGACAACAGTTGTTGGGAAACGAGTGATACGAACGACATGATACAGTCTTGTCACTTGCTCGCTTTAACAGCTGGTGGAGAACGGGTTTGGCACCGCGCCAAACTCATCCCGCCTGACACGCCCCACCTTCCGCAGCGAACTACACTATAGAGTATTCCTTCTTCTCCTTCACTTCTTCATTACTTAGTTATTAACAGCGTGTCATTTTTTTACTAGAAAGCACTTTCTGATCGCGGGCTTTTGACAACCTTCTCAAACCAGTCAAGCTCTTCCTCATGAGCTTCAATCACTGGCATCATGCCATCATGATATTAAGCGTAGCGAATAAGAAAACTCCGCTCAAACCTTGTATGGTTCAATTTCTGATTTGATTTCATGTATTTAGTACCTTAACGGCTACGATCTATTTTATAAAATTGTCTTTCATTGAAGTCCCAGAGAGGGTTATTCAAAGAGGTTGCTTAGTCTCCGTTTCACCGTAAATGTTTCGTACAAGTCAGAGAATAAGCCGGACTCCCGCGAATTCGGAGGTTAGTCAAATGCGTGGCGTGCCAAAGCTATGGCCTATCCCCACCTTCAACTCCTCTACTTGTCGAAGTCCATGGGGCACATTGCCCGGCTCACTCTTCCTTTCTGCACAGTCACATGACCCCAAGCGTTGGATTGCCTGCGCGGATGTGGCATTTTCTGAATATACGCTTCACATGTAATAATTTCTTTCTCATGACAAGGATTTTTTGGCACTGTTCAACTATTACTACCCCACTTTTCCGAAAACAGGCCGGATCTTGATCGACTTTTTTCTACGGGGCAGATTTGGCTGAAAGTTGGGTTCTAGGGGTAATTCGACCTCCTGAACGAATATCACATCCACTTGGCCTGAAACTGCCTGGCGCTCGCGCCACAGGCGCCGGCGCCAAAAACCCTAAACCACCGAATTCGTGAAAATTTGTCCCCAAGGGTAGTTCAACCTACTGAACACGAATATCATATCCGCTCGCCCAAAACTGTTTGGCGCCCGCGCCGAAATAACCCTAGTTCACCAGAATCCGCTGAAAACTTGTATACGGAGGTTATTTGACATCTTGATTACAAATATCACATTCATTTTTGGCGCTGGCGCTGATGAAAGGCACTACGATCACCTGCACTGTGCGAAGGCTAAGCCTGGCCTAAAGGGGATCACTTTTTCTCCAGGCGCGGAGCCTCATTATTAAGAGGACCGCTAAATGGCGCTGGCGTGGAGAGATGAATGTCCATATTTGGTGACCTTGAAGCATCGAAGCAAGCCGCTATGCATGCAGGGGTTTTTTAGGCGGACTTTGGCGGAAAAATAGTGTGGCAGCATGGCGCCGGGCTGTGAAACTAATGCGAATGTCCGTGACAAGGATCTAACCGCTATCTATGCAAATTTACATCAAATTAAGTGAGAAAGGTGGAGGGCGCAAATTGGCGGCAAATTGGCGCTATTGCGCAAATTCGGCGCCAGCGCTGAGATTGAGTGTTATATTCGTAATCAGGACACCGAATTACCCCTGTAGGCAAAGTGTTCAGCAAGAAAATTTTTTTGACTTTTTTGGGTTAGGAAATTGTTGAATAGTGTTGATTTTTTGGCCAGTCTTTCTTTATCAATCGTCCTTTTTGCTATGTTGGTGTTTGTTTCATTGATTTACCGAATTAAACGGATGTACATGAGTTTGCACATGATGAGCAGCAATATTGCAGATGGCGTGCCCTTTTAATGGATCACGGGTCACAGGCGGCCGGCCTTCATGGAACGACAGGCAGAAAGACGTGCACAAGCGGTACAAAAGTGGTCTCGGACAAGGAGTAAACCTATGGACAGTACTGTAGCAGGTAAATGCAGCCTGATATTTGGGCTAAGGACCCGACATAAGTGTTATCACGTGACTACCTAGAATTCTGAGCGGGCAGCACTGGAACGCAGGGTACGCGCTATCGTTGTGATCATTCACAGAGGGGGTCGTAATTTGACGCGCGAGGGGGGGGAGGGGCGGTATTGGGTCAGGAAAAATTTTTTTTCGATATATGATTTCTCTTGTTTCACTGTACGTCTTGTAAAGGGGGAGGGGTCGTGTTCTTTGTCATTTTTGAGAGGGGGGAGTCGTTATGGTCCAGTTCACGGATGCCACTACTACCCCCCCCCCCCCACGGCTTGGATCGGATGAAGGAGGGACGCGGGAAGGGGGGTCGTACCAACTCCCAAAAAGGGGGTCGTATTTTAGTATGGAATTAGGGGGGGTCGTAATTTTCAGAAAATGATCACAACGCGATGGCGTGCCCTGGCTGCAACATGGAAATCCCAGCCGACCCATCTACGTCAAAGCCCCGACAGATGTTATTAAATAGCTTGCGGGTCCTTACAAGGGAAGGATGGTAGGTCGAAGTGGCCATTTGAAATGAAATGTATACCGGCTGAAAGGTCTTCGGACGGGAATTACGAAACCGTCTTCCATATCTGCTGCGGACCTCCCAGAAAGAAGTTACGGAGCTTTTTAGTGGGAATACATACGTATTGGCGGCGTAGAGCCCTGACAGAGATCGTGCAGCATGGCCGAGTGGACAGCGTTGCACAGGGCACACGGGTGCGTGGCGGAGGGTTTTGAATCCTTTGTTGGCGTGGGTGTTGTATTTTTGCCATTGTTTCGAAAGTGGTCCCTGTGCACTTCAAAGCTAATTTGCATAACACTTGTCCCTGATAATGTCGCGACGTAATGATTCTGAACTGATGGAGCCAAAAACAGTCGAACCATCCATAGAGATCACTTTCTGGGGCATCCATTGAACCTCCAGAAGACATCAAAAATTTTTTTCGCTGAAACGTTGCCTAGAGATGTAATTCAACACGCTGATCGCGAATATAACATCCGTTTCAACCGCTGGCGTCATTTGGCGCCATTATGCGCCAATTTGGCGCCCACCTCTTTTTTCACCAAAGTCGACGAAAACTTGCATATGGGGGTTAATTGAGTTCCTGATTACGAATCCAGCATTTATTTTTGGCGCTGGCGCCATTTGGTGCCACTGGCAGTGCTTGAAAACCAGTGTGATATTCGTAATCAGGACCTCAATTGACCCCCATAAGCAAGTTTTCATCAACTTTGGTGGAAAAAGTGGTGCGCGCCAAATTGGCGCATAATGGCGCCAAATGACGCCAGCGGTTGAAAAAGGATGTTATATGTATCAGCGCATTGAATTACATCTATAGGCAACGTTTCAGCGAAAAATTTTTTTTGAGTTTTTTGGGGTAGGGTAGGGGTTAGTTCAATAGTGCCCACTTTCTGGCTGTTGTCTTCTTCTTTCTTTGATTTGAAAAGCATACACAACAAAAGTGCATTCCAAAAGAAGATTTTGCTTCAAATGACTTTATTCTCCAAACGACATGACTGGAAAACGAATCCGAACGCACAGTTGTGCACGAAGATGAGTACAGTGGGAAAATGCTTTCATGTGAAGTGGCGTTGATGTGGCAATCATGCTGCTGGAGATCGCGATGGGCAAGAGCTTCATTCACCACTCACATAATGTTGAAATGTATGCCTATTTATGCCTATCTCAAAGTGTTTTCGTACCTGCTGGAGGTTTTCGGCTCGTATGACAATCTTTTCAGCTGGAGGTGATCTCCATGAAATCGTTCGCAATGGCTCCATCAGTTCAGAATCATTACGTCGCGACATTATCAGGGACAAGTGTTATGCAAATTAGCTTTGAAGTGCACAGGGACCACTTTCGAAACAATGCAAAAAAGCACACGCATCAAGGATTCAAACCCTCGACCACGCACAAGAGACCGTGAGCCTCGCAGAGATGACCACCGCCATGCTGCCACGATCTTGTCAGCCTTACGCCGCCAATATGTAGTGCATACTCCCCCTAAAAAGCTCCGTAACTTCTTTCTGGGAGGTCCGCAGCAGATATGGAAGACGGTTCGTAATTCCCGTCCGAAGACCTTTCAGCCGGTATACATTTCATTTCAAATGGCCACTTCGACCTAACATCCTTCCTTGGAGAAATGTTCTAGACGGTCCTTGCTCCGCTTCGCGTTTGTTTCGATTCAATTGATCTGACGTGCTCGGTGCTTGTGAAAATAAAACGGCTGACGTTGAATTGAATCCTCGTGTAGTGCGCCAATGCTTGCAACCTTTGCATCCGTATTGTAGATAGCTTGCAATTATAGTTAATGTCCCATAAAACACATTTCTTCTTCGAGACGATCTGTCTCCTGGTGATGACTAAAATCTGATAATGACCGTGACTTTTTTTCTTTTCCCATCAGCCCTTATCTCAATCGCAGCGACAGTCATAATTTATTACCAAACAATGGAAAAACTGAGTCCTTCATTCTGAACAGAACGCTACCTTCAGAAATGGCTCACATAGAAGACGCCAAAACGAGGGACTAACTACCCAAGTCGTCGCGCCCAATGAGGAACTCCCTCGCTCCTCTATTAGCCTTTTTTGTGTCTTCAATTCGCGATCTGTTTCAGTTACACAAGCTACTGGATTGCCAAAAGTTGCAGTCAGAAGAGCAGGGACATCGGGTAGACGATGAACATCTCTTCATCATCATCCATCAAGCCTATGAGCTCTGGTTCAAGCAGATCATCTTCGATATCGATACCGTACGAGTTCTGCTCAACCACACAGTACGTTGTACGTTACGACGTATTTCTCATATTTTCAAACTATTCAAAAACCATCTGATCATCTTTCGGGCAACACGGGTGCCTGATGACGTGTTGCACTGAAGTTGGGAAATCAGTATTCAATACTGGGACGGGTGAAATGGCGGTGTGTACACCACTCGCCTCCAAAAGTTCCTCTGCACCCTTTAGCAACGCAACCTATCTACCAATTCTCCGGACCCTTTATACCTTGCGCCAGGTAGCGTAGCGCTTCAGCCGACGGCACCGGCAGTGCCGGAGAGGATGAATTTGATTCTAGCACTCCAGCGTACGCTACAGCGTTACTGCCAGCGTTTCACCAGCGTTTTGCTGGCGTTTGCAGCGGCAGGGGAGTAGAGACTATGTGGCCGTCAGAGACGCGCAATCGATGTGTTTTGTACCCTCCAGCTCTCCCATAGTCTCTACTCCCCTGCCGCTGCAAACGCTAGCAAAACGCTGGTGAAACGCTGGAGAACGCTAGCGCGGAAGGCTAGATTGATATGGCACTCGCTTCTCCCGCCGGACTGCCCGCTGGCGTACGCTGGAAGCGGCTACGCGAGGGGGCGCTGGCCGGAAAGCACCTAAACGCAGCCTAGCAACGCAACCTATTACCAATTCTCCGATTTTAAAACTTTTTTCAGCTTCACAAAGAACTAACATCGAGGACCTACTAGAGAATGGTCGTAGTCATCCAAGCTAAACAAACACTCCACATCTAAACTAATAAGGTGAGAAGTTTGCCTGCTGTGCCCTGATAGTAAAACATTCGGCATCGCATAGACGCAGTAATGGCGTGCCATCTAAAAACGGGCTCAGTTTGAGAAAGCTGTCATATTGTTCATTGTTGTTTCCGGAACATCCAAGCACGTTCGTTCCTTTTGCTTTTTCTGCTGGTTGGCTGCAAGAAATACTGCGTTCCGTCGGTGTTTTTCCGACCGATTTTGAAAGTTCATGATGGATTATACTTTCCATCTCACACCGGCCGTACGACACTCGAAGGCGAATTTCCAAGATCAGGGTGTGGCTAGCTAGCGGGATAAGTGAGGATGCTCATGAAGAAAAAAAGCAAGTGTACAGTCAAGAACGTGCGCGAGACCTTTTCCTTATGAAACAGTGTTCTTTTTCCCAGAAAACCAATTTGTGTAGCATTGCATAGTAACACCTTCTAGATTGTGGATGAGACGAAGACCCTCCGGATCGTCTCCGGACTCGATCGGACTGTTCGAATCCTCAAGTTACTTGTAGACCAGATTACTATTCTCGACACGATGAGCCCACTTGACTTTGTTGACTTCAGGTATGCGAAGCATTTCGTTCCCATCAGAAAACAAAACAGTTATTTCTATTTCAGAAAATACCTAACACCTGCTTCCGGATTCCAGTCGTTGCAGTTCAGACTTCTAGAGAACAAAATGGGAGTGCGTTGTGATCGACGAATTAAGGTACATTATTCGCTTTTTGGCGTTTGGATGTGAATCATTCGTAGAAGGTTCACACTGTCTCAGCGATTTCATATTTTATATTGTTTCCTTCGCGCCCCCCCCCCTTCCCTCATGCCCCCCCCCCTTCCCTCAAAAGGCATATTTCATGCTGGTCTCATGGGCGGGGCCACGATTACCATCCTGAGCTCTTCACTGGTGGACCGATCCCTTTCAGCGTGTTAGAAAGAAGACCTGCACCAATAACAAAAGCGCCCAAGCTTTCCCCCCCCCCCCCCGTTCCGAGAAACTGAAACGGATGGGGCCGCCCACCAGGAAGGACATACGTTATGCCTTTTATAGCAACCGCGGATAGAATGTGTCCCTTGAACCTGCATGGCGGAACTCAAGCAACTTCCTTGAATTGTTGCGGGCTGTGATTATGGCTCTGATTTTGAGGTGATTTTTGAATGAAGCTGCTAATTTTCGACTTATTTAGTACAACGCTCAGCACTACAAAAATGTCTTCCTGAATGATGCTGATGTGAGAGCTGTTGAGCAAAAGCGAGACCGAAAGCCGGCCGCGCCGCGCCCCCGCGTCACTTTTGAACCTCGTCCAGGTGAGTACAGTAATTTGTGCTGTACAATATTTACTTCTGCTATCTAATATAATTAAATTTGAAGAGGTCAGCAGTTTTCCAATTCTCACTCTTTTGACGATCGTAATGCCAGAATATAATTCGGTCCAAAGTTTTCTGAAAGCAGGATACTTATTTTGCCAGACGACGCCGCAGACGCGCCATCGCTACGATTTCTGCTCAGAATCTCAGCTTTCATTATCACCCCAGCGCCTACGAATCCGGTGTCCATTCAGGTCATTTACGGTATGAACGCTTTTCAGAAGCGGGTTTCAGCTTGCTCCAGGGGCACCGGCACAGAGCCCAGATACAAAGGAAATTTCCTTGACTGTTAAAAAATAATGAACAGTGCCTATCAAAGTCACAGCGTACTATAGCAAAATGAGGATATGGCATTCATGGTGTAATGGGGGGGGGGGGTGATATATGGCAGGTCTGCTTAGCAGAAAACTGCGAAAGAACAGTTCCCCTTGCTTGTTGATATCATGACAAAATCGGCCCTTTCCCCTATCCTGCCATCTTCACCATCGAAACCATTATTTCCAGTCTCATTTCCAAGTCTGGCAAGTGGCACATTTGCACGCGGTTCACGCACGGATCAGCTCCTGTCCAGACCAAACACCCTCTAGTGACGATAAATTGGTACCACTTTCGTCTGGGAGGATAACACTGACTTGGAAGTCGGCTGGTCCCCGTAAGCCGTTGTGTGGGCATTACCCTTTCCGAAGAGCTATTACTTATCTGAATGGAAGTAGAATTAAAGTTGAATGTGTGCCATATCCTACTTAGGTTTGACTAGCGGAGGGAGCTTTTAGTTGACCGGACTTGTGAAATAGATTGGATTCCTCTCCAAGGGAGGGGAATACTAGCTCCGAAAATTCTTTCCACGCAACAGAAGCGACACATTATAGTCGGATCTACACACCCTAGGCAGGAGAGGTCGTCTAGGAGACAGTCGTAATGGCTGACAGAGCAAGACGCAATCAGAGACGGTTATGCACCAACTGTTTGTCATTTCTATGAGGCATTCTTAGAGTCTTCCGGGGAAACTGAACACCGTTCCATGTGTTCCCAAGTCCGCCCCTGTGAAAAGATAACCGTTTTGAATATGTTTACCTTCCTTTAAATGCTTCTTTAAAGGATCTTCTAAAGATGAATGGAATATTTTCTTCAGAACTGGTTGGAGAGAACTCCTGGTTTAGTGCTGGCGACGATTGACGGTGAGAAAGAGGAGGGCTTCTGGCCGAAGTATGAGCAAGCCGTGAAGCGATATCTATCTGACCTATACGACGAAGCTATGGTAACCATTCCACTATTTTTGTTCCTTTCAAATGTGTGGTAGAACAGTGGGTACTCCTT